TTAATAACTGAATAACTGTATTAATCTTTACTTATCCTATAATGAAGTTTATTAATTAAGGGTGTTCAAGAGCTGCTTCCATTCTTTTGCTTACTTATCTAAATACTTGAGGATCCATATACTTAGAAAATTTCACTTTCTTTCCTTTAAACTACAGTTCATACTCAGTCTCTTATAAGATATTACCTTAAATTTTCTAAAACAATTTGATATGTAATATTTAAAATTTTGCTAATATAAATTAGCACCTATGTGTGGCATGTCTATTTAATTATTTCATGTAATAATCTTCTAAAAGGAAAAAGAATTTGCCATTTTTCTCCCATACAGTACTTGTTGCTTATGACCCCTGTATTTCATTAGTAAATCATGGAAAATGAAGTTTTTACTACTTTTACATCTATAGTATGCCAGGTTTATCTGTCATAACTTTGAAAAGGTTTCTCTTAGACTGCGTTTTTGTTTAGCTTCAAACTTTTCCTTGGTTCAGCTTTTTGGGTAATTTTTTTTTTTTCATAGTTTGCTCTTTTCAATTTTGAATTCTTCTTGCTTATGCAAAGTGCCAAACTGTTAGCCACGAATTTGTGAAATTCAAACTAATTTTATTATTGTTGTGTGTTTTAACTTTGAAACCCTCAAATTTAAAAGATATATTTATTTATTTATTTTTATTTTTTTAATATTTGATGTGGTTTTAATCAAAGCTATAAGTCATATCACCATGTAGAGAAGTTGTCTAAATTTCTTTTAGGTTTTTTTTCCTATTTTTTTTTTTACAAATAGTTTATTGTCAAATTAGTTTCCACATAACACCTAGTGCTCATCCCCACAAGTGCCCTCCTCCATGCCCATTCCCCCTCCCCCCCACATCCATCAGTCCTCAGTTTTTGTCAGCATTCAAGAGCTCTCATGGTTTGCCTTTCTCCCTTTCCCCCACCATTTCCCCCCTTCTTCTCCCCCTTGTTCCTCAGTTAAGTTCCACCTAATTCTCCTATACATGCAAATATATGATATTTGTCCCTCTCTGCCTGACTTATTTCGCTCAGCATAACACCCTCAAGGTCCATCCAGGTTGCTACACATGGCCAGATTTCATTGTTTCTCATTGCCATGGAGTATTCCATGGTATAGATAAACCACATCTTCTGTATCCATTTGTCCGTTGATGGACACTTAGGCTCTTTGCATGTTTTAGCTATTGTGGAGAGTGCTGCTATGAACATTGGGGTACATGTGCTCCTATGCATCAGCATTTCTGTATCCCTTGGGTAAATTCCTAGCAGTGCTACTGCTGGGTCATAGGGGAGTTCTATTGTTAGTTTCCTGAGGAATCTCCACACTGTTTTCCAGAGGGACTGTACCAGTTTACATTCCCACCAACAGTGTAGGAGGGTGCCCGTTTCTCCACATCCTCGCCAGCATCTAGAGTTCACTGATTTGTTCATTTTAGCCACTCTGACTGGCGTGAGGTGGTATCTCAGTGTGGTTTTGATTTGTATTTCCCTGATGAGGAGGGATGCTGAGCATTGTTTCATGTGTCTGTTGGCCATCTAGATGTCCTCTTAAAAGATATATTTAAACTGAATACTTTATGAACAGAAGAACTCTGTGAACCTTAGTTTTGTAGATATCTTGGAAGGATTTCATTTACTTATGTTATAGCTGATCTTAAAGACAACACAGTTTCTATTTTGTAGGCTTTTTGTCACAGCAAGTTGTCTCTGAGCACACCTTCAGTGCTGCAGGTTTTCTTATTGTTCATAATCAGGTGTTCTGATTATATATGATTTTCTTTAAGTCTTTGCAATATTGTATTGGTGAACACCTTCACCTTTGAAGTTTCTGTCATTAAATCATAGGTGGTCCATCTGGTATTTTACTGTTCCTGCTGAAATAAGTTAAATCGAGCCTCTGTATCAAAATTTGAAATATATTTTCCTGTTTCAATGAGTTTTTTTTCCCACAGGGAGAAATAAATTTGCACGTAGTTAAGCCACAAAGAGAGATGTTTATAAGTAGACTATTGTGATTTTTAACTTAAATTTAAGTCACAGGAGACAGTATCAATTTCTATCAGATTTTCCTTCCATGAAGCTTTTGTCTTTATTTTTGTTTTTAGAGTATATTCTTAAAGATTAATTCTAATTTTATTCTGTCATTTTCTTAAAGAAATTATATTAACACATTTGAGTTTTATTAGCTTAGTTGTAAATTATCATTTGTTTTTTAGAGTCAGTTTTTCATCATGCCTTGCTATTTTTGAACTGTGCTTTGAAATAACCAAATACAGATTCCTAGAATAATCCAAAATATATAAATTTCAAGCAGAATAGACATTTCTACTGATAATTGTGTTTCATTAAGCAAACTACATATTGTGTAACTATAGTTTCACTATATGTATAACTATGTCACAATCATATGGTAAGTGGATGTAAGAATATTTGTAAAAATTAACTTATTGTATTTATATTAATTTACAATGTTTTCTAGTATTAGTGAGGTTTAAATAGTTATAAATTTAAAAGTGTGTAAGTGGGAAGGCAAATGACATTGAAATAAGCATTAACAAATTAAATACCATAAAACAATTAGATAATTCAAATGTCTTTTTCCTAAAGGATTATCAATCCTAAATATGAAAACATCAGCTAGAAAATAAAACCTTTATTTATCAATTTATTCGTTTTTAAAATATTTATTTTGAGAGAGAGAGATTGAGAGATTAAGAGAGAGCAAGAGAGAAATCCCATGCAGGCTCTGCACTGTCAGCACAGAGACTGACATGGGGCTCAGTCACATGCACCACAAGATTGGAGCTGAAATCAAGAGTCAGATGCTTAACTGACTAAGCCACCCAGGTGCCCCCACAAAAATACTTTATTTTTATTTTCTTATTTTTATAAAGTTTATTTTGAGAGAGAGAGCGCACAAGTAGGGGAGAGGCAGAGAGAATCCCAAGCAGGCTCTGCACTGTCAGTATTGAGCCCCCTGTGGGGTCAAAACCATGAACCTCGAGATCATGATCTTAGTCAGAGTCAGAGGCTTAACCAACTGAGCCACCCAGGTGCTTCCCCCCAAATCCTTTAAATATGATAGCTTTATATATTTTATTTGCTTTTAACATTATAAAAGTCTTCTCCATTACTTGTTTTTTCAGTATACAAGCCCTATAAAAAATGGTGATACTGTTTAAAATTTATATCCACTTTCTATCATACTACAGAAATTCAGATAATGTTGGCTTTCTAATATCCATCCAAGTCTTGTAAAGTTTAAATAATCCAGTAACATTGAGTATTTAGATTAATGGTTACTGTTTTAGCAACCTCTCTTCTTTAAATATTTATTACTATGTTCGTTTTCACTAAACCAGAAGATAATACTCACACTGACAACATTTTTATGGATTTTAGGAAACAACTATAACTAAATAATCAATAGTTTTACTACGTGTCAGGCAGTTAATACTGGGGAGGAATCAAATCAAAATATATTTTTCATACTGTAATTATTCTGATCATATCAACAAATTAAAGATGAAATATATATCTGCCAATATACTATCTTACCTTTTTCATTCAATCATTAGAAGTGTAATTGGTGAGACTTTCATTTTTTGTAAACACAAATATATAACTATTTCATATATATGTGACATATATATGTAAAATTATTAGTACACATGCAAATACTTTTTATTTATCCTCATTAAACAATGAATTCTTTTTTTCTGGACTGTATGAGACCATATACTATTTAAATAATTTTGAAAATCTAGCTTATAAATATATCAAAAGTTTTATATTGTCCTAAAGCATCATATTTCATTTTTTATAAAGGAAATCACCCTAAATAGTTCAGTTTTTCTTAGAAATAATTTTTATGTGTGTGTAGTTCTAAGGATGTTTCTGATCTGACTCACACAAGCATAATTTCAAATATAGCCTGATTTGAATTAATACAATGTTTTATATTTTTCTGGAGGATATTGTTAATTTTACATGGGAGGACTCATTAGTGAAAATGAATACGTGTGTCATACCATATAACACCTTCACCATGCAAAGTTGCTAAAACAGTATGGAAAAAAACCTCATAAGGAAAATTTGATATAGCTTTCCTATGCTTTTCCAGACCTATTTCCAACACTGCTAAAAGGGGGGAAAATTCGAGAAGGCACTGAAGAGACCACCTCACCAGACCCTGATGTTACTTCTCCTCTGGATGTACATGCTGCAGCTCCATAGGAGCCAGGTTGGAAAAGTTTCTAGGAAAACAGCGTATTCCTTAATAACATATATTTTTAAGTAGAAAGATTTTTTTTTCCTATTTGGCAGTTTCTCTTTTTAGGCCCCAGAGTTAAGTACATGAAAAAGTCTATACTTTTAGTTTGAACTTAACATTTATTTCTTTATTTTAAAAAATATATATCAGTGGAAAACGTCTGGCTTCTCAAAAATATTTTTGAAGTGTAATGGTTTTAAAGCATGCAAAAATAGCTACTTAAAAACATTATGGTTCTGTTTTATATGTAGTATAAAAAATATATAGCTGTTATTAATCCAATACTAGAGTTTGGAGTTAAATTATTAAAAAAAAAGTATATCAACTTTTTCAAGCACTTCTGTATATACTACATCAATTGCAGTAGATAGTTTCTATAATACTCTTTTTTCTATACCTTGAGCTCAATATATATTATCGCTCTTGATACTAAGTGAAAGTTTAAAAGTAATTAAATATTCATATAATGTTGTTAATTCTCTATGCCTGGGTGGATTCTGGAGATACAGGTCAGCGAATTAGCAAAATGACCATAAAAGGGCATTTTTTTATAAGAATAATCTCAGAACCTAAATTTCAGATTTTGTATATTTTAAAATATAATTCTACTCAGGTTATTGAAATGCAGTTGCAATAAAGAAGGAAGAAAGCAATTCCCAGAATAGAGGTTGCACATTGTAATTGTAACTGATGTATTTTTTAAAAAACAGTCAATTGCTTCTTGGCCTTTTGGCTAAAGCAAATGTAGTATTTGTTCTTTTCAGCTTAATATCTGATATGTTCTCTGAGGATAATATGTTAAATGAATCTTTTGAACAGGGAGGGGATAGTAGTTTGCTCCATCCACTCCTGTGCATTAGTACTTTCAGTACTTCCAGGAATGGTGCATCTCTATTACACACACACACACACACACACACACACACACACACACACCACATTCAAGACTTTTTAAAGATATAGCCACCTAGTAATAAAAAACATGTTAATGAATTAAAAATGTAATTTAACAATGGGAACATAAAAAATGAGGTTAATTTTTAAATAAAAGATTTAAGAAAAGCAATGGGTTATACCACTGATAGTTTAATTCTGAAATAAGTGCACAAAAGGTAGGAATTATCTTTGCGTGTGTAAGAGCTGATGTTACAAGGATATATGTCTACATGTCTACTTAATCCAAGCGTGGTACTTCTAAAGTTTAAGACATCTTTCTAATTGTTTATAATTCTCTTGCCAACTTTTTCACAGAAAAATATACAGTAATCTATACTTGGTTTATAGCCTTCATCTCATTTGCCTTGTATTATTATTTCAGGGGATTTTGTTTTGTTACTCTTGTTCTTCTTTCCCTAGTATTCAGTTGTAAACCCTTTAATAGAAGTGATCATGTGTCAATGTATCATTATGTTTCCGTCACCTATGAAGTCAGATAAATGTATTTTAAAATATTAATTACATAGCAAGTTTGCTGTAGAACTAAATGTACAAAGTCAAACATTAAAGAAATACTTGGCCTAAAAATATGCTTTGTATATAAAATAGGCTATTGTCTCGTAATACCTTGGGTTTATTAATATCAGAATCATTTATAGTCCATCTTCCTAGAAACTGTAAAGCAACTTTAGCATATGTGGATACTGTCGTTTCTTAATGGCCTAACAGATTGTTATTTTGGACAGATTTGAATGGTGGTCCAAATCATATTTTTAAAAATTCTAACGTTTTTGTGTTGCATTTAATAAATACTCAAAGAGAATGAAGTGTTTAGTTATCAGCCGACAAAAGTTAACTAATAATAAAAATAACTCCTAAAGTAAGGAATAACGTAAACTCTAAAATAAGGATAGGGTCATTTTATTTTTTTAAATATTTTTATTTAGTTTTGAGAGAGAGAAAGAGACATAGCATGAGTGAGGGAGGGGCAGAGAGAGAGGAAGACAGAATCCAAAGCAGGCTTCAGGCTCTGAGCTGTCAGTACAGAGCCCGATGCGGAGCTCAAAACCACAAACTGTAAGATCATGACCTGAGCCAGAATTGGATGCTTAACCCACTGAGCCATCCAGGTGCCCTGGGTTCTTTATTTTTTATGATGAGAGCATCATTGTCAAATTTAGCTGCTCTAACTTCTGTATAGTAGGGATCAGCAAAACTGTAAAGAGACAGCAATTGTTAAGAGAAAAATGGAGCAACGAACAAAATTTTCTAACAGATTGAGATAGAGAAAAAACCTTAATTAATCTTACTAATCAATAAATAATTTTAATTAAAATTATATAATTTTAATAATTTATATTAAATTTATATAAAAATTGACATAAAAACATTTTTTTCATTCAAGAAGAAAGGATTATAAATAGATCAGATTTAGGAATTCATAGTGACAGGTGAAGTTGAGCAATAGCTCTATAAATAACTGTTCTAAATGAAAGGAGCACGTCTCTGGAGAGGTTGTGAGAAGGGATTATAATCCTTTAGAAACAGTCTGAAGACTAAGAGATAATTTAGTTCAGACCTGTCATTTTTGTCTCACAGTACAGAATATATTTATATCTATATGGGAATATACAAAACAGATGTATATATATATATATATATATATATATGCATGTATACGTATGCACATAAGCACTTAATTATATTAAAATTTGTAGATGAAAGGTGAGCTAGCAATCTTCATTTTTCTGGAAAATAAAGTGTAAAAATTAACTACTAACATAAAGGAGATAACAAAGAAATTGAATTTAAGATTTTGGGAATTATCATCAAAATATAAGAAAGGTAAATTATGCAATTCAAGATATATATTCTCTAGTATTATTAGTATTAATCTAATGGTTCATCACATGTAATTATATATATTACCATATACATATGCTGCCATATGTTCATCCCCTTCAGCTACTATATACTTGTCTAAAAATTCTTTGAACAATTATTTATATATTGTCTCATTACTCCTCCATGAAAGATCTGTCTGCATTCCCGATCTTTTCACAAAACCATCCCAGTTCGACTTTTGTCCGACTGTTCTGCAAAACAACTCCTCAAGATCATCTGTAATGCTCACATCGTCAAATTTAGAAGTCAATTTTTAGCCTTTGTCTTACCTGAGCTATCAACAGCATTAATCATATATAATAGTTACCACTTTTTGAAACAATTATATCAGTTGGTTTCTGTAACATCACTTTTTTTTTCTTTCCTTATATTTTCTATTTCCTTGGCTAATTTCTCCTCCAGGCTTATAATTTTACTCTTATATTGCCATTTAGTCTCCATGTGGCTTTACTTAGCCTTAAGACATTGTATCAACTAAATGTTGAATTTATATTCCAGCCTAGATTTCTCCTCTGAACTCAGATGTGTGCATCCAGAATTGTACCTGCTGAACTTGGATGTCTATTGGCATCTTATATAACATATACGAATCTAAACTCCTTATTACCCACCTCTTCCTGTTTTTTCCACAGTAGTCACTGTTTCACAAAAGGGAGATCCAGCATTCCAATAACTAAGCAAAAACTTGGGAGTTATATTTGACTTCACATTTTTCTCAAACTTTATAATGGGTTAAACAGCAAATTTCTGTGGCTTTCCTTAATAAATAGATACAGATTTTTTTTCTTTTAAAACAAATTTTTAATTTTATTTATTTTTAAGTTTATATTTACATTCCAGTTAGTTAACATACAATGTAATATTAGTTTCACGTGCACAATATAGTGATTCAACACTTCCATACAACACCCCATCTCATCACAAGTGCACTCCTTAATCCTCATCACCTATTTAACCCATCTGCCAACACACCTCCCCTCTGGTAACCATCAGTTTATTTCCTATAGTTAAGAATCTGTTTCTTAATTGCCTTTTAAAACCATTATTGTAACCACTCTAGTCCATGATACCATCACCCTTCCCTTGGATTAGTAGAATAGCCAGCCCTAAGTAGATTTTGTAATTCCATGTATACCATGCCCCCTAAGAATCTATTTTACTTTATAGACCTGTGTTGTACAGTATGGAGCCCCAGAGCTGATGGGTTCCCTGAAATGAAATAGTCTTTGCTTGCCCTAATTTGTTTGAATTGTATATGTGGACAAATTGAATGAGCAGCTAATTTGCATATGACTAAGGCTAATGAAGGTTGTGTAAGCCAGGTATTGGACTTAGGAAAGGTTTTCAACTTATCCTAATAAGTAGCATTAGAATATTAGAATATTTTAATAAAAAATTAAAATATAGATCTGTATGGCTGTCAGAGCACTTAACAATTACATATTCAGTTGTTTCATCTAAAATAACTACAATAATGTTTCCTAAACTTTATAGATTTTTGAGTGTTAAATTAAAAAAATGTAAAAATCACTTAGTTCAGCACCAAGCTCTACTTACAGATTTGTATCTATAAATGATGAAAAATATATAAATCTATAATTACTGACAACATTGATAGATTTAAATTGAAAACTTTAAGCATATCTTAAAGGCTGCAGAAAAGTGAAGGAGAGCAAATTTGCAATTAATAAAACCATTATGATTCTGATGCCCAGGAAATAATAGAACTTTCCAATATATATGTGGAAAAAGGGAAATATGGCAATTTAATAAATCAAGTTTTTCTCAATAAAATTCTTCATGTAATTAAAAAAATGGAAATCTATACATGTTTTAGATAGATTATTTTTTCCAAAATGTTATTTAAAAATTAAGTATGAGGGCATAAATTGGGATTTTCATTTGTACTTTTATAAAATATACTTTGTATGTTTCTTAAAATAGCATACCCATTTAAAAATTAGATTATTTTATAGATCAGTTGCTTTTGTATGTAGTTTATATGCTTGGTATGACCTGTAAGCCATCTAGGACATTTTCTGTTATTGCTTGTCAACTACCACACAAAAGAAACTAAAAACATTTTTTTACTGTTTATTTATTTTGAGAGAGAGAGAGAGAATGAGAGCGCACCGAAGAGGAGGGGCAGAGAGAGATGGAGAGAGAGAATCCCAAGCAGGCTTCAGACTGTCAGAGCAGAGCCCCACACGGGGCTTAATCCACAGACTAGTCTGATGCTTAACTGACTGAGCCACCCAGATGCAATGAAACTAAAATTTTTTGTGACTACTCAGTCTGTATTCTATGACAGTTCATATTTGACTTTGATGCAATTTTAGATATTTTGGATATTCTAAAATATATTTCAAGTATTAGGGATCAGTATACTCTTTAATCTGTAGGAAACTGTAGCAAATCAGTAAGATTTTACTTTATGTTACTTTGCTAAGGTTAAATATCTAACCTTAGAAGAGGTTAGATATTTTAAAAATCAATTAATTTTAAGAAAAAGTCAAGAAGCATTTGACATGTAATTACATTTTAATAAAGATTAATTAAATGAAATAATTTTATGTTATAATATAAATTTATAGTGGAAGAAAGTATTAATATCTGGTTAGTCATATTTTCTCTGTTTCCAGATAGCCTCTTTATATCACAGATTCAAGGAATTTTTAGTATATGCCAGATCCAAGAAAATGAGAATCTAGCCAGTACATGATTGTTGAGATAGCTTACTGGGTACTAATTACCAATCTAATTACCAATATTGATACATTAGGGGATTAGAGCAAGATGTAAAATCTGCAGGAGCCCCGGACCTGATTGGTTTTCTGAAACTAGGTTGTCTTCACACACCCTGCAGTGCCTCTTATGACTGTGTGTTGTAAATTCTGAGTGAGTAGGACATTTGGAGGCCATGCTATGCTCTTGACTATTGCTGTACATGAAACTTTGGTGTTGGATTAATATGCCTGTTGCACTTGATTATTAATTCAAAACCAAGAACACTGCTGTTTATTTATAGTTATATACCAGGTCCAAGGTAAATGA